CTAAAATTTCTCCTACTTTAGCATTCAGGCCCCTACCACAATTACTCTCTCACTTGGTTCAAAGGCTCCTATACATTCACTTAACATCTCCCAAAATCTCTCTCTCTCCTCTGCATTCCTCTCTTCTCCAGGTGCTACACGCTTATTATGACCCACTTCTCGCATCCAACCTTTACTTAATCCACATAATTCTTGAATTTACACATTCATATTCTCTTTTCTCCTTCCATAACTGATCATTTAACATTATGCTACCCCTTCCTTTGCTCAAAACTCTCTCAGTTTCTCCAGATTTAATCCCATTTATTTCCCCCCACTGAAACTCTCCTACCCCCTTTAGCTTTGTTTCGCTTAGGGGCCAGGACATCCAACTTCTTTTCATTCATAACATCAGCAATCATCTGTTTCTTGTCATCCGCACAAACATCCACGCACATTTAAGCACCCCAGTTTTATAAAGTTTTTCTTCTTCTCTTTTTAGAAAATGATACAGAGAAGGGTTACTAAGCCCATTGCTCCCGGCATTTTAGTCGCCTCATACGACACGCATGCTTACGGAGGAAAGATTCTTTTCCACTTCCCCATGGACAATAAAAGAAATAAAAAAGAACAAGAGCTATTTAAAAAAGGAAAAAAACCTAGATGTATGTATATATATATATGCATGTGCGTGTCTGTGAAGTGTGACCAAAGTGTAAGTAGGAGTAGCAAGATATCCCTGTTATCTAGCGTGTTTATGAGACAGAAAAAGAAACCAGCAATCCTACCATCATGCAAAACAGTTACAGGTTTTTGTTTCACAGTCATCTGGCAGGACGGTAGTACTTCCCTGGGTGGTTGCTGTCTACCAACCTACTACCTAATAATAATTTCTCAGAGCATCATTCCTTCTAAAAGTTACGTGAGAATGGAAGTGTTGGTCTTTATTTATTCTACTGTAGCACTGTGGAGACAACTTGTACACAATTCATGGTGTTTGTAGGAATGTGTATCAACCATAACCAGACGGTTTGTTTACACAAGTACTCTGTGGCTCTGTCATCCTACTCATTCTCTCTCTCTCATTTATTCACTCTAATCTTGCTTACTCATCTCTCTCTCACCCTGCATTAAGACTACAAATATTGTAAGATAAGTATTGAGTGTACTGTACAGTGGACCCCTGGTTTTCGTAATTAATCTGTTCCAGAGAGAGTGACTAAACCCGAATATGATAATTCCGAATTAATTTTCCCTATAAGAAATAATGGAAACTCAATTAATCCATTTCAGACACCCAAAAGTATTAACAAAAAATATTTTCTGCACGAAATATACATTTACCTACACAGTAAACAATGATACATGAAGAATAAAACAATAATATCACACTTTCCTTTATTGAAGGCATGGTGATGTATGGAAGATGGGAGGAGGGGAGAGGATGGAGGAATTTACAATTGTTTGGAAGGGGAATCCCCTTCCATAAACACTTCAGGTATGAAGTCCTTATCCTGGGTTACTTACCTTCTTTGTTTTTTAATGCCACTAGGACCAGCTTGAGTCACTAGACCCCTGTCACTCAAAAAAGTGTTCCAGAGAGGTCTGTTGCTGGCATATGTTAGGAATTGTGTTGGGAGACAGGACAAGATAGTCCTTCAATATGACACTAATATCAGCTCTATGGTTTATTTGTCTAGCACAATTCATCTAATGTGACATAATAAACAATATTAATAACATAGAAACATGATATATACTCTAGAAGAAACATAATATATACTCTAGAATGAATAAAATATGGCATTAAGAATCAAGAGTGGTGGTGTGTTGTTTGTTGTTGGGTGTATAAGGATCACTGAAAGATAAGCCTTACATAGTGGTGGTGAAGGCAGCAGCAAGAGGCAGCAGAGGCGGTGGTGTTAGTCAGTAGCCCTATATACCTCCAACAACAATGGAGGAGTCAGTTTCGTGCTGTCCTTTTTCTATCGATTAATCGCTTGAGTTACTTGCTACACTGTATCACTGGCTGGTGCTATAGCCTTTATCGACTCCTGCTGCTTTAGTATCATACATATTGCAGAATCATTGAAAAAGGCACATTCTCCCCTCTCTCTCTCTCTCAGCCCTTTACCAAAGTTGTGGCTGGCACTAGCAACTTTCTTTGGGCCCATGGTGGCTTATTTAGCAGTTGCAAGCACTAAAAAGACTGGAATAATGCAAAATATATCGTATGAACACATGAGATTGTCCTCACTGGCTGATAAACAATGGCACACTGGCTGTAAATGGTGTGTCGGACCACTCGGGCCAAGCAGACACGTTCGGTACGAATGACTAATAGCGAGTTCAGTGACGATCACTGAGCCAGTATTTTGATGAAAAAATGTTACTTATTCCAAATATGTACGTATTATGAATTCTGATGACGATGTAATCCGGGGGACCACTGCATATGCATTTTATCACTAGAGCGCTCTAAATGTCGTAGTAGGTGGGGTGGCGAGGCGGCCTACCATACCTCCCACACAATTTTCTACCAATAAATACTTTTCACCTCTCACCCTACATTAAGACCATTAAGACTACAAATATTTTAAGGTAAGTAACAAGTGTACTGTATATGCATTTTATCACTCTAGGGCACTTTAGCTGTATTGCCCTTGTGGCTTAGCGCTTCTTTTTGATTATAATAATCTAGGGCACTTTAAGCATCGTAGTATATTATGTGTGGGTGGGCTGGCCAGGAGGGCTACCACACCTGACTTCTTACAGTAAATACTACTCACCTTTTGCCCTACATTAAGACTACAAATATTTTGAGGTAAATAATGAGTGTACTGTGTGTGTATTTTACTTTTTATTGTTTTTAATGCCTAGTTCTATTGCTAACTTAATAAATGTTTAGTGTAAACTTGTTATTTGGCATTTATATGCATTTATAAGTGGAAAAAATGGCATTCTGCTTTGTGGCAGTAGCCTGGAACCTAACCTGCCACATAAGTGGGGCCCTACTGTACAGTACTACTTCAAAACCCATATTATAATCATCATTATTCTGAAGATTTTCTATTTTAAGTATCAGTATCAGTCTAGAACTCTTGGCACATACTAAATGACATTTTTCTATCCTTTGAAAGTGTGTCAAATACCACAAAACCTATTTTCTTTGAGAGCTAGTATGTCAGATTCATTAAATTTTCAGATTTAGCAATGAAAAAGCTCAGATAAAGTAAAAATTTAGTAAGGGGTACTTTTGTGTTCTAGTCATGTGCAGAGTTATTATACTAACAAGGGAGTTAGTCACAGCCTTAAAAAGGCTGATTTTGCATTGTTATTTTCTCACTCTTGCACATGCAAGGTTTGTAACTATTAAATAGATCGACAAATTTTAACTTGCTAAGCTTAAACTTAGATGGTACAATCCTTCTCATAAGATGCTTCAGCCATAAAGGACTGAAGCCATTTAGATGAGGCTTAGTCAAGATATTTTACACACAAAAAGTAAACATGCCATTTTAAAAATATCATTAACAAAATAGCACCTACACACTCAGCCTTCTTCTAGGTAAGATACACTAGTGTTGAAAATTTGAAGCCAATCAGAAGACTTGACTTATCACATGGAAACCAGAACTGAGAATGGTCTATAAAACATGAACTAGATGGCACTTGTAAGTGCCAATAGTTGCATATACCTTTTCCTAGTTATAATACACAAGTGTTGAAAATATGAAGCTGATTGGATGTTATTCTCGAGTTATAACTTGAAAATTTTGGAAGAAGAAAAATTAAATAAAATTCTGATAACCAATATAAGGAAATCCCTTCAGGGATACGTAATAAAAAAAGTCACTACAATCAGTGAATCATTAGGATGAGTATGAAAATAGTGGAATGCCTCAAGGATGTGTGTTGAACCCCATATTATTCCTGGCATATACAAATGACCTGGTTTGAAGAATTGACTGTTAATTGGCCTTGTTTGCAGATGCCAACATGAGGACAAAAGAAGGCTGCAGAAAGGCCTGATTAGACTTCAGATATGGGCAGATAAATTTTACTGGAATTTAGCCCAAAGCAAAGTTATGAAGCTGGAAGATAAGGGAGTCCAAAGTACAATCAGGAAAGGGGGAAGAAGATGAAGCTCAGATGAGTTAAAAAAAACAGACCTACAATAATCATTACCCTAAACCTGTACCCTGAAGCACACAAGCAGAATAACATCAGCACAGGCTAATTTTGCAAACACAAGAGTGGCATCCACTCATATGTAGGATACATTCTTGAGCATTCAGCATCATTTTGGAGCCCTCATTTAGCAAAACACAAATCAAAATTTGAGAAAGTACAAAGGAATGCATCGAAACTGGTTCCTGAATCAAGAGGGAGGATCAACTGTATTAAACAAAATTTTTGGTTCTTCTGCCTGCTATGCAGCACTGCAGAGAGACAAGGTGTTAACCTTTAAGGCTTAGAACTTCATGGGTTCAGAACTTAATGTACATTCAGTATCTACTTATTCAGATTTTTCTCACTTTCTCTAGCATTCTCATTACTTTTAAAACCTATGATCTCTGAATCATATTGTCATTATCAGGAAGATCTTTAACACAGCTAACCCTTCCAGAGGGTGCTTTGATTTTATTAACAGGTTGTTGGATCAAGCCTGATTGCCTTCCATTCCCTAGGCATTGTTTGGCCCAATGGCTATAGCACTTCCACATGACTAATAATAGTCTGTGTGTCGAGTCCTCAGCGGGTCAGCATTGTAATAGAATGAGAGGTAATGTTTGGGTGAATGGGATGGACAATTGAAGCACCAGTGACCATCATAAACACTAGCACATTTTTTATTTGGTGGCTTTCAGAACATTGAGTAATTGTTGCTGCAAGTCAAGATACACTATAATATACAGATTAATTTTTTTTTTTTAACAGTCTTCCATGTTATTCTGTTTTTTATTTTGAATAACATTTATGCAGAGAGTTTGTAAAATTTTGTAATTTTATCATTACAGGGATAGTCTACGACGAGGTTGGGAACTTTTAGCTATTTGTCTCGCATTCTTTCCTCCATCGGATAAGTTTGGCCCCTACTTGGCTGGTTATATTGCAAGACATTGTGATCCTGCTTATTGTGCTATGTTCCCTGATGTGTCCAAGTGGCCTATCCATATTCAGGTAAATTCGCTTACCATTTTAAGTACATTATATGTGTTTATTTTTTTTAATACACTGGCCATCTCCCACTGAGGCAAGGTTACCCACAAAAGAAGAAACACTTTATTAAAGTTTTACTTCTTTTTTACATTTAGTAATTTATACTGAAGAACACTATGTATGTACAATACTGTAATTTGCTTTCAGTTGCATGTTAACATCTTTCACTTTTTTATATTATACTATATATGCATTTTATTGCAAATTAAATTAGTGTATATTTAGTACATGCAGAAACCATAGTTTTGTATACAAACTCCAGTACAGTTACATATCATAATTTAGTGTTTTAACAAGTCTAGTTAACTATAAAAATCTGGTAGCTCTTACCTATCCCCAGTTAACCATAAAACCATCTATTATTTGTGAAAATAAACACGTATTGTAAAAATATTCATAAATTTCAACAAATGCCAATTGAGCTAATGTTATCATAGGCTGCACTTTGAGATTGAAAGTAAAGTCAAGTCCACCACCAAGACTTTGTCAAGATAAATGAATAGGGATTAGTCATAAGTCAGTTTCTTGACTAGAGGCAACAAACACAGGTAAGGACCCACAGAGCTGCCTTAATAGCATTGCCATAAACTGATAATAGCTCACCTGTAAGGCTAACCCCTGGTCACTAGCCTAAAATTAATCCTCCCCCCTCCCCCTCACTGGCACATTAAACTTTGTGAGAAGACATTTATTTTGTTTCCAAATAAGTTCATATATGTGGTGAGAGAGTGCAAAAGGAGAGCAGATGATAGAGTGAGAGAGGCACTGTCAAGAAATTTTAATGAAAATAAGAAAAAATTTTGGAGTGAGTTAAACAAGTTAAGAAAGCCTAGGGAATGTATGGATTTGTCAGTTAAAAACAGAGTAGGGGAGTTAGTAGATGGAGAGAGGGAGGTATTAGGTAGATGGCGAGAATATTTTGAGGAACTTTTAAATGTTGAGGAAGAAAGGGAGGCGGTAATTTCATGCACTGGCCAGGGAGGTATACCATCTTTTAGGAGTGAAGAAGAGCAGAATGTAAGTGTGGGGGAGGTACATGAGGCATTACGTAGAATGAAAGGGGGTAAAGCAGCTGGAGCTGATGGGATCATGACAGAAATGTTAAAAGCAGGGGGGGATATAGTGTTGGAGTGGTTGGTACTTTTGTTTAATAAATGTATGAAAGAGGGGAAGGTACCTAGGGATTGGCAGAGAGCATGTATAGTCCCTTTATATAAAGGGAAGGGGGACAAAAGAGATTGTAAAAATTATAGAGGAATAAGTTTATTGAGTATACCAGGAAAAGCGTACGGTAGGGTTATTATTGAAAGAATTAAAGGTAAGACAGAATGTAGGATTGCGGATGAGCAAGGAGGTTTCAGAGTGGGTAGGGGATATGTAGATCAAATGTTTACACTGAAGCATATATGTGAAAAGTATTTAGATAAAGGGTAGGGAAGTTTTTATTGCATTTATGGATTTAGAAAAGGCATATGATAGAGTGGATAGGGGAGCAATGTGGCAGATGTTGCAAGTATATGGAATAGGTGGTAAGTTACTAAATGCTGTAAAGAATTTTTATGAGGATAGTGAGGCTCAGGTTAGGGTGTGTAGAAGAGAGGGAGACTACTTCCCGGTAAAAGTAGGTCTTAGACAGGGATGTGTAATGTCACCATGGTTGTTTAATATATTTATAGATGGGGTTGTAAAAGAAGTAAATGCTAGGGTGTTCGAGAGAGGGGTGGGACTAAATTATGGGGAATCAAATACAAAATGGGAATTGACACAGTTACTTTTTGCTGATGATACTGTGCTTATGGGAGATTCTAAAGAAAAATTGCAAAGGTTAGTGGATGAGTTTGGGAGTGTGTGTAAAGGTAGAAAGTTGAAAGCGAACATAGAAAAGAGTAAGGTGATGAGGGTATCAAATGATTTAGATAAAGAAAAATTGGATATCAAATTGGGGAGGAGGAGTATGGAAGAAGTGAATGTTTTCAGATACTTGGGAGTTGACGTGTCAGCGGATGGATTTATGAAGGATGAGGTTAATCATAGAATTGTTGAAGGAAAAAAGGTGAGTGGTGCATTGAGGTATATGTGGAGTCAAAAAACGTTATCTATGAAGGCAAAGAAGGGAATGTATGAAAGTATAGTAGTACCAACACTCTTATATGGGTGTGAAGCTTGGGTTGTGAATGCAGCAGCAAGGAGGCGGTTGGAGGCAGTGGAGATATCCTAAGGGCAATGTGTGGTGTAAATATTATGCAGAAAATTCAGAGTGGGGAAATTAGGAGAAGGTGTGGAGTTAATAAAAGTATTAGTTAGAGGGCTGAAGAGGGGTTGTTGAGGTGGTTTGGTCATTTAGAGAGAATGGATCAAAGTAGAATGACATGGAGAGCATTTAAATCTGTAGGAGAAGGAAGGCGGGGTAGGGGTTGTCCTCGAAAAGGTTGGAAGGAAGGGGTAAGGGAGGTTTTGTGGGCGAGGGGCTTGGACTTCCAGCAGGCGTGCATGAGCGTGTTCAATAGGAGTGAATGGAGACGAATGGTATTTGGGACCTGACGATCTGTTGGAGTGTGAGCAGGGTAATATTTAGTGAAGGGATTCAGGGAAACCGGTTATTTTTATATAGCCGGACTAGAGTCCTGGAAATGGGAAGTACAATGCCTGCACTCTAAAGGAGGGGTTCGGGATATTAGCAGTTTGGAGGGATATGTTGTGTATCTTTATATGTACAGTGGACCCCCGCATAACGATCACCTCCGAATGCGACCAATTATGTAAGTGTATTTATGTAAGTGCATTTGTACGTGTATGTTTGGGGGTCTGAAATGGACTAATCTACTTCACAATATTCCTTATGGGAACAAATTCGGTCAGTACTGGCACCTGAACATACTTCTGGAGTGAAAAAATATCGTTAACCGGGGGTCCACTGTATATGCTTCTAAACTGTTGTGTTCTTAGCACCTCTGCAAAAACAGTGTTAATGTGTGAGTGTGGTGAAAGTGTTGAATGATAATGAAAGTATTTTCTTTTTGGGGATTTTCTTTCTTTTTGGGACACCCTGCCTCGGTGGGAGATGGCCGACTTGTTGAAAAAAAAAATGTAGATAAAAATGCAAAGCTGGTTGACATGTTATGTAATATAGTTTTTTTTTTTTGTATAAATAGCTTAGAAAACCGACAAGTTTATAATTGAGGCACTTGGGCAATATTTGGGAATCTTTGTTCTGGAAATGTTTTGCCACCCAGTGACATTTTCAGTCCAGTACAGAAAAGAATAGTGAAGTATGAGGAGTTTGAGGTAATCAGTTCCTACACCTTGAGTCAATGTGTTTACCACTGGGTGATGAAATGTTTCCAGACTAGAAATTCCCAAGTTTCCCAAGTCTCTCAATTATCATGTAATACAGTAACATTAGTAGGTAATTTGATAATTAAGTTTTAATGACAGAGCTCCCCACAACTTAACCTGCCCTGCCAGGTTAACAGTTGTACAAATTTCTCAAGGAGACCCATTCTGTAATGAGAAAGGCTGACCAAATCTTGGTGATTATCTCCATTTTCCTGCTTTGGTCAACTAGAAGATGCAGGAGACTTTAGGGAGTTAATCATATACTCTGCTGAGTACACCTTCTAGGAGACATTGCACAAAAGCTGAAAGAATAGAAGTGGACCTCTCATAGAGGATTATCAGTGAGGGTAAAGCTTCCATGATAAGTAACCTAAGACCCTTACGCACAATAAAGCAAGAGGATCACCCTTCTGCATGTCACTGAAGCTAAACGTCGTGCTTGTAGTTTCTCTGATATGGCCATCATGAGATTGTTCTGGAAGCAGTGCCCTAGGAAGGCTTGGGAGCCCCAATACTGAGTCCCATGATTTCAGTCACTAAGGCGCCTGGTCAACATCTGGAGAAGACCCGGGCCGGAAGTACCGGCGAATCATCAAGAAGAAGAAGAGTCACTAAGGGAACCCTAGTGTGATGTAGAATAAGGTTTCCTTCCTCTTTGTGTGTGTTGTGTGTACTCACCTAGTTGAGGTTGCAGGGGTCGAGTCCAAGCTCCTGGCCCCGCCTCTTCACTGGTCGCTACTAGGTCACTCTCCCTGAACTGTACTGTATCATACCTTTGCTTAAAGCTATGTATGGATCCTGCCTCCACTACATTGCTTCCCAAACTATTCCACTTCCTGACTACTCTGTGGCTGAAGAAATACTTCCTAACATCCCTGTGATTCATCTGTGTCTTCAACTTCCAACTGTGTCCCCTTGTTGCTGTGTCCCATCTCTAGAGCATCCTGTCTTTGTCCACCTGCGTGTGTGTGTGTCTGTCTGTGCTTGTGTGTGTGTTTGCATGTGTATTTATGTACAGTAGGGCCCTGCTTTTCTGTGTTTCGCCTTACGGCGTTCCGCTAATACGGCGACCTCCAATTATGATCAAAACTTTTTATACGGCGAGTGGTCTTTCAAATACAGCGTGGGCCACCCGGTTTGTTTACATTCTCCATGAGCACATCTCTCCATTATGTAATAATAATCACTCTTGGGCACATTAAATGTCTAATTTTATGTCAATATAGACATTTTCATTAATCCATCTATGATATTGTCTTCAAAGTTATATTAGAAACACGTTACATAGCATATAAACATGCTGTTTATATACTATGGAAGGGTGGTCTCTGGGTGGAGGGAAAACATTACGTAATACTAATAATAATCTCTCTGGGGCACATTAAATGTCTTATTTTATGTTAATATAGTCAGTCATTAATCCGTTTATTATATTTTCTTCAAAATTATATAAGAAATACGTTACATAACACACAAACATTTTGTTTATATACTATGGAGGTGTGGTAGCCGGGCGGAGGGAAAACATTACGTCACTCCCCTTAATACATAATGCTTTTGTTTACAATTCTCGGCATGAATTATTAATTACTTCTCCCTTTGTTTATGATGACATCTAAAGGTAGTTATTAGAAATGATTAAACTCAGTGAATATTGTATGTCGATGGTAATAATATGGATCTGGGCCACATTAAATATCGTGTAGCATAGTCCAGGCGGACTACATACCTACATTATTATTACGTATAACTGATAATTATACTTATGTGTACCTGTACCTAAGTAAACTTACACACTATGCTGGCATGCAGGTACACATTAAAATCACTAAGAGTGTGTCATTAGTCTTGAAGACGCCATATTAATGATAATAATAACACAGTAATAATCACTAAGGAGCATTAAATATCGTATAAAACGTTAATATAGACATTTTGCTTAATCCATCTAAATACACCCCACAGTAGAATAAATTAATATAAATACGAGATGTAGTAGCCAGGTGACTTGTAGGACTTGTGGTAACCAGGTGACTTGTAGGACTTGTGGTAGCCAGGCAACTTGTAGGACTTGTGACGAAAACCAGATGCATTCATCTGGTTGGTTTACATTATGTGTGGGTGGGTGAGGTGGTGAGGGCTGCCCTTCCTGGCTACCCATACTTCCCAACCTGACTTCATACAAATAAAACTCACCTCTCACCCTACATTAAGACTACAAATATTTTAAGGTAATTAATGAGTGTAGTGTACTATACATGTATGTGCATTTTATCACTCTAGGGAGCTTAATGTCATAGTAGGTATAAGTGGCCAGGCAGGATGCCATACCTCCTACACGACTTTTTACAAATAAATACTTTTCACCTCTCACCCTACATTAAGACCATTAAGACTACAAATATTTTAAGGTAAGTAATGCACACTGCCATAACAACATACTGGAGTGAGAGATATGGGAGGAAGTGTAAAATAAACCCAGTGAGGAGCAGGGGTGCGGTGGGGACAATAAGGGAACGCTGTATCAACATCCGGGGTCCCAGACTTTTCAACATCTTACCAGAAGATATCAGAAACACTGCTGGAACAAGTGTTGAAGCTTTCAAGAGGAAACTAGACAAGTATCTTCACCGGGTGCCAGATCAACCAGGCTGTGATGGATATGTGGGGCAGCGGGCCTCCAGCAGCAACAGCCTGGTTGACCAGGCGAGCACCAGACGAGCCTGGCCCATGGCCGGGCTCAGAGAGTAGATATACTCTTGAAATTCTTCAAAGGTATATCAAAGGTAAAGGTACTGTATATGCATTTTATCGCTCTAGGGAACTTTAAGCATCGTAGTATAGTATGTGTGGGTGGGGTGGCCAGGAGGGTTACCACACCTGACTTCTTAAAGTAAATACTACTCACCTTTTGCCCTACATTAAAACTACAAATATTTTGAGGTAAATAATGAGTGTAATGTGTGTGTATTTTACTTTTTAATGCCTAGTTCTATTGCTAACTTAATATATGTTAGTGTAAACTTGTTATCTGGCATTTATATGCATTTATAAATGGAAAAAATGGAGTTCTGCTTTCCGGCGAAGTGTGCTTTCCAGCAGTAGCCTGGAACCTAACCTGCCAAATAAGTGGGGCCCTACTGTACTCATATGTGTTGTGTGTGTGTGTGTGTGTGTGTGTGTGTGTGTGTGTGTGAGACCCAACAATTAATATTTGCACCAATAACTCATTTGTTCATGATTGTAGCCATGTATAAACATAAGTAAGTAAATTTGTTTACAGGATTCATTACCTTTGTACCTAGTTCAGCTATCAAAACTTTGGGAGCCCAGTCTCTGGACCCATTATGTACCTCTGTAATCTGTAAATACCTTTGTAACTTGTCATGATTGTGACCAGATCTACCTGGAGTTCATTACCTTTGTAACTTGTTCAGCTATCAGAACTTTGGGGCCCAGTCCCTGGATCCATTATGTACCTCTGTAATCTTTTGACTACCACCCACAGGATGGGTATGGGGTGCATAATAAACATATTAAACTAACTTCCAGGAGTGAAATGGGAACAAGGGAGCTAAAATTTGCAAAAGGGATAGGGAGTGTGACAAAGACACAGGTTCTTCTTGGAAGACACCTTGTATTAACCAGGGAGGCAAGAAAGTAAATTAGACCCTTTAAACATAAAACTATCGATTAACCATAACCCACAACTTCTTGTGTTGACTCTCGAAATTTCCATAAATTTGAAGTTATTAGGTCTCGTGCATGCAACCCAGTAATGGAAAAAAGTAGAATATCTTATTTTAGAAAAGAGACATTAGCAGATATGTTGACTCTTGTATTCATAGCAAATAAAGCATCAAAAACTTCCTTAGACTGAACAATTGGAGTACAATAATAGGTATACAGTTGACCCCCACCTAATGACCTTAGATAGGAATTGGAGGAATAGTTCATTAAGCAAAAAATGCATTGAGCAAATCACATCTTTCCATAGAAGCTTGTGTTATATTACTTAAGATGGGAGACTTGGATGATAATTTTCCATATATAATTTCTATATAATTTTTTTAAATGCTAAAATTTACAAAATAGTATATACTCACCAGAGATGAGTTCATTGTGATGGCAGTTGGCAGCCTGGAATCTAGTGTCCAAATGGGAGGCGGTTGTTAAGTGGGCTGAGGGGCCTAGATTTTTTTGGGTTATTCAAAATTAAGTTACATGAACAGTCATCAAACGAGGGTCTACTGTATATACTACTGCACTGAAATGAAATATTTGCTGAAAATATTCACCAGTCATGGTATGTCATGCTTAATTTATATCCCTTCCTTTGTATTTTAACAAAAATACAGCTTTGAAGAATAAAAAGGCACAATACCATGATTGGAACAATACACAAATAACCTGTCCAATCATACCGAAACGTAGTCATAAGTTTCATTCTCCTATGTGTGGATTATTTGTGTATAATACAACATTGAATTATATTTCTGGGTAGTTTAATGTAGAACAATCATTAAATATGACTCCCTTTACATACATTAGTTTTAAAATCAAATTTTACAGGTGGCGCACTATGCTGGTGTGTGCATCAAACGCTTAGAAAGAACAACAGTCAATGCAAAGAGACAACGATTAAAGAAGCCAACATTGGAGGAAATTGACCTAGCACGTTTGCACATTTTCCGAGCATCGATGTTTGGAGGCACAATAGAGGAAATCATGGCACTGCAAAGAGATAGGTAAAGTAATAGCCCTACCAATAATTACATAAATTTCAGTACACATTTTACATATGATAGATAATGATGTATGCTTTGCATGTTCATATTTCCATATTTCATTGGCATTTTTATCTTGTGTATCTGTATTTGGCTTGGATGGTCCAAGGAATACCACCATGTAGAAGGAATATGCCATGCACTTTGCTTTATTTGGTGATGATGGTACGCTTTATTTCAGTCCCACAGCACTGGTGGTTTGGCATATATCCTCAGTCTCCACACTTTCCTCTCAATGACTGCACTCTGTATTTTGCCTTGGATTCTGTTTATTTTTTCCTTGTTTCATTTTTCTGCTTCTCTTTTATTTGTTTTATGCTCATTGAGGAATTCTTAACTATGCTGGAACTGTTTGTAGCCAACACTATATTCCTGGAAATATCACTAGTGTAGGTTTCTTAAAATTTCTAACCAAATTAAAAGCCATTGGGCAACATACAAACCATTAATACAACAAGTCTAGACAATTTGCATCCCTGGTGTAACTCCTGGGCAGCTACTAGATGATCTACAGTAATCTGAACTTTGCAAAATACTGCCAATTCTTGATTTTAATCAACCACAAGTTTCATTAAAATTCAGTGGCAATTCATAGTCATCTTAGCAGAATAACCTCTTCAAGGGGGGCTCCTTGGCGTGGTGAAGAGGCTCTTGGTCTGAGGAATTGACCTGTCGGTCTTCTTTCCCCAGGGCCAACCTAATTAGCCCCAACTCCACCCCCCCCTATCCCATCCTTTCCATTTTTTCTTTCCTTCCTCCTCGCTCCCCACAGCCTCCCTTTGGCCCTTCCTCATTTCGGCCTATTGGATTTCTCCAAAAGGCGCGCTAGTTCCTAGGTAGGAAAGATACCGGGGTTTCCCTCCCATTCCGTGAGGTTCTTGGCGGTGCGTAGTTTGCCGTGGAATCTGGATCGCCCTGGGTTGTCCCGATCCCTCTCCGGATCCCAGATTAGCTTTGGGTGTATCTCTGGAAGCCACCTTTCGGATTCCGGGGGTGGTGCCCCAGGAGTATGCCTTGTGGCGGATATCCGGGCCGCCCTCACTTTTTGTCCACCGAGGTAGCTCGGCAGTATGTGAGGTTGCTATCCCGGATTGTTAGTTTACTAGCAATGATGGTATTGGGTATGGCACGGGTTCCATGCAGCTCTGCTCGCGCTACTTGCGGTGCTGAGGTCCTCTTGGGCGCGGAGGGAGATTTCTGGCCCTTTTTATTCCTCATAGGAACTATCCCTCCCCGGTCTCCCTTTTTTTTTATTTTTTTTTTATTTTTATTTTCTTTTCTTCTTTCTTTTTTTTTCTTAAAAAAAAAAAGAAAGAAGTAACCTAACCATGGCAGCCCTAGTCCATGAACCTCCTACCCCGGGGCCCCTTCTTGATACCGCACCCCGTTCTGACCCCGCCTCGTCTTTGGACCACTCTTCAGACACTCCTCATGCCTCTGTACCTCTTGCCGGTGCTGTTTCCTCACCCGCTTCAGGTACTGAAGCCTCGACTGACTCCTTCGATTTATCGAACCTTCGCTCTCCTCTGACTATGCTTCCGGCCTCTCCCTCTACGGTGCAGCAATTTTCAAATCGCCGACCCATTCCACGTCGGACCAACTCTGGTCCCACACCTAAACGCCAACGACAATTACCTGCTGATGATACTTCTCCACCTTCTCGTTCTTCTCAGAAACGATCGACAGGTCCTTCACTACCTTTCCATGCTCAGTTTCAGACTGAACAATGGACTAAATTCTTCAATTTACGACTGACTTCCTCTACTGCCTATCTTTCTGACCACAGTATTGGCAAGGCACTCCTACGCCATGTTGGTAAAGATATTTCTTTTCATGCTCTTAAGAGCGGTATGCGCATCATCACCGTACAGAATGCTACCCAGGCTCATGAGCTCTCTCGTCTTTCCCATATTGATACTGTTCCTGTCACTCTTGAAAAACATCATTCCCTCAATTCTTGTAGTGGTACCGTCATTCTGCCCCATACCACAGTTCAACAAAATTTCCAGACATGTGGCACTGACATTCTTGAACAGCTGGAACTCCAAGATCTCCCAATCCTCAAGGTAGACACTTACGTTCTTCCTGCCCGCGGGCGGAGACGATACCCTAGCAATGTGGCTCATTTAACTTTTGACAGCCGAGAACTCCCATCCTCAGTTTATATAGCAGGACATAGGTTACAAGTCCGAAAGGTGATCCCTACACCGCAACAGTGTAGAAATTGCTGGCGATTTGGCCATCCAGCGAAATATTGCAGATCTATCGCCGAATGCCCAGTCTGTGGTGCCGATGACCATTCTCATACGTCTTGCAATCGATCTCCCTCTTGCCTTAACTGTCATGAGGCTCACCCTTTGTACTCTCGCCGTTGTCAAGTCTATTTAAACGAGCGGGAAATCCGTTACCTCAAAGAGACAGAAGGTCTCCCTTATGCCATGGCAGTTTCTCATCTCCGCCTCTAAAAGGGAGACTCCCACGTGTTTCTTATTCCCGTGTTTCAAAACGTCCCCCCACTTCTGGTATCCCATCTTCTACACCCACCTCTGTGGTTACCTCTCCCATAGTCACTCCTGTATCTAATCCTTTTGCTGTCCTCGGCTCAGACGTCCCTACTTCAACGCCTCAGTCTGATCTCGCTTCTTCGTGTTCTCTCTCACAAGCCTCAGTAACGACGAGATCTCGTATGACACCTCCTCCCAATCGTCCCTCTACTTCTCAAAAGTCAAAAAAGGTCCGTTAACACCTCCTACCCATCTTCCACCTCCTCATTTTACCCTCCCTGTCTCTGTCCCTGGTTCTCCCCCTCTCACTGGCTCTGTTACAAGTGTAGAGGTTCACCCTCCTCCTCGTACTGTACCTTCCTCCCCTGTTCCCTCCCAGGTTTCTTCCTCTTCTGCCACCTCCCAGGTTTCTGCCTCTTCTATCCCCTTCCATGCTTCTCCAGTTCCCTCCACCCTTTGCCCCCCCCCCCTACCTTGGTACAGTCCAATACAGTTCCAATCTTTACTCATCCTCCCCCTATCATTTCCAATATTGTCTCCCATACGACGTCTCTGAATTCCGAAACACTTGAAGCAATCTCTGAATATATTGCAGAGACCAAACCATCAATGGACACTGATCCACCCTCTGTTCCTTCTCTCTCCTCTCCTCCATCTGCACAACTCCTTTCTTCACAGCGCACCGTTCCTTCGCTGCTTGAACATTTTCCACTGCCTCCGCATGTGGACTTTTCTAACCCCTCTAGTCCGTAGGAACCCTTACCTGCGGATTTCAAGTATCTTTATCATTGCCAATCATTGCCTATTTACAGTGGAATATACGCGGCCTCAGGGGTAATCGGAGCGAGCTTCAGATGTTACTCTCCCAGTTTTTCCCTGTTGGTGTTTGCTTACAGGAACCAAAATTACACTCTGCTGTTATCTCTCCCATCTCAGGCTATAATTTATTGTATTCTTCAGATCCTTTTTCCTGATGGGACCTTTAATGAAAGTGCCCTTCTACGCACTGATATTCCGTACCATCAGCTATTTGTTCATACTTCGCTGCATTACACAGCAGCCCGTATCCACTTGCATAGGTGGTATACGCTCTGTTCTTTATATCTCTCTCCTTCTCGGGCATTATCTATTCCGGATATTGCCTTTCTTGTTTCGTCATTACCGCCACCGATTCTGTTACTTGGTGATTTTAATGCCCACCATTTCCTCTGGGGGGGTCTCACTGTGATTCCCGTGGAATTCAGTTAGAGGCTTTTCTTGCCACCCACCCCCTCCATGTTTTAAATACAGGTACGCACACCCATTTTGATCCTGCGACTCATACTCTCTCTTGCATCGATCTCTCAGTCTGCTCTTCCTCCACCGCATTAGACTTCACTTGGTCTGTTCTCCCGGACTTACATGACAAGCGATCATTTCCCCAATCATTCTTACTTCCCCTTCATATTCACCACCTCTTCGCATCCCACGCTGGCAATTTGATCGGGCAAATTGGAACCTTTACTCACACCTAACTGTTTTTAGAGAGGTTCCTTCTTCGTCCTCCATCGATGAGCTTTTAACCACCTCTTCTTGTCCTCCGTTTTAACCGCAGCTTCTCATTCTATACCCAAACTTCGGGCAGGCATTCTCAGAAATGCGTGCCTTGGTGGTCTCCTGCTTGTGCTCGTGCAGTACGTTTGAAATGCGCTGTATGGGGCAGTACCGGTACAATAGAACCACAGAGAGACTCCTTGATTTTAAACAGAAGCGTGCGATCGCTCGCCGTGTCATCCGTGACGCTAAACGCACTTGCTGGCGAGATTGTCTCCACCATCACCTCTGCTTCCTCTATGAGTGCAGTCTGGAAAAAAGTACGAAAACTGAGTGGTAAATATTCTCCTGACCCGGCTCCTGTTTCTGCGGGTTGCCGGTGTTGATATAGCAAACCCACTAGATTTTGCCAATGAAATTGGCAATCATCTGGTCTGTATTTCTCAGGGACTCCATCTATGCCCCTCATTTCTTTCCTCAAAGTCTGCCAGAGAGTTGGCACCCTTGGACTTTTCTTCTCTCAGAGAAGAACAGTATAATGTGCCTTTTACACTTCAAGAACTGGAGGCAACACTCTCAGCTTGCCGATCATCGGCAGCTGGCCCGACGACATTCACATTCGTATGCTACAACATTTACATCAGTCAGCCCTTGCAGTCCTATTACGCCTTTACAATCTTATTTGGTCACAAGGAGTTCTTCCACAGCTGTGGAAATCCGCCATTGTTCTCCCTTTCCGCAAACCAGCACTACGGACATGAAACCTCCCACTATCGTCCCATTGCTCTTACCAGTGCAGTTTGCAAAGTAATGGAACGCCTAGTAAATAGACGTTTAGTGTGGTATTTAGAGACACATAACAGTCTCTCCACTCGTCAATATGGCTTTCGTAAGGGACGTTCTACCATAGACCCCTTACTACGCTTGGATACGTATGTTCATAATGCCTTTGCGAATAACCACTCAGTTATTGCCATATTTTTTGACCTTGAGAAGGCATATGACACAACTTGGAGGTATAATATTTTAGCCCAAGCCCACTCCTTAGGCCTTCGAGGCAATCTACCATCCTTCCTTAAGAACTTTTTAACTGACAGGCATTTCCGTGTTCGGGTTAATAATGTGCTCTCTCCCCAGACTTTATCCAAGCTGAAGGTGTCCCCCAGGGATGTGTTCTGAGCACAACACTTTTTCTCCTTGCTATTAATGATTTGGCCTCTAGTCTTCCATCAAATATTTGGTCATCACTCTATGTTGATGACTTCGCTATTGCCTGTGCAGGCGCTGACTGTCACCTCATTACAGTTTCTCCCCCAACATGCAGTCAACCGTGTTTCCAATTGGGCCACCACACGTGGGTTTAAATTTTCCAGCACTAAAACCCACCAAATTACTTTCACTAGACGCTCTGTCATCTCCGATCATCCTTTGTACCTCTATGGCTCCCGTATCCGTGAACGTGATACAGTCAAGTTTCTGGGCCTCCTCTTTGATCGTAGGTTATCCTGGAAACCTCACATTACCTCTCTTTAGACAACTTGCCACAGCCGGCTGAACCTTCTTAAAACCCTTGCTCATCTTTCATGGGGAGCTGATCGTCGAACCCTCCTCCGCCTACATTCCACCCTTATTTTATCGAAACTTGATTATGGTGACCAGATCTATTCAGCGGAATCTCCTGCTACTCTCTCTAGCCTTAACTCCATTCATCACCAAGGATTACGTTTATGCCTTGGTGCTTTTTGCTCTTCCCCTGTCGAGAGCCTCTATACAGAAGCGAACGTTCCATCCTTATCCGATCGCCTTTGATGCCCATTGCCTGCGCTACTATGTACGCCCCTCATGATCTCCGCAATCCTTCCATTTATAGAATGGTCACTGATATTAGTAGACATTCTTTATTTGTTCACTGCTCCTGTTTACTCTGTCCCTTCTCTCTTCGCCTTCATTCGCTCGTCTTCTCCAACTACCACCTTTCTATGTACATGTAGCATCTCACTTTTCCCTACCCCCCTGGGAAGTTCCAGCTGTTCGAGTCTGTTCTTTCTCCCTCCCTTGCTCGAAAGCCCAACTGTCTACGGTCGCTTCCCGCTCTCTTTTTCTTGACCACTTTCACTCTCATTCTCATGCCATTGCCGTGTACACAGATGGCTCTAAGTCTTCTGACGGCGTAGGATTCGCAGCAGTGTTTCCGGACAGCGTCGTACAAGGGCATTTACTATCTTCGGCTAGTATTTTTACTGCTGAATTGTATGCCATCCTTACAGCACTTATCCGTATTGCATCTATGCCTGTGTCATCATTTGTGGTTGTCTCAGACTCCCTTAGTGCTTTACAGGCTATACCAAAATTTGATACACCTCACCCCTTAGTCCTCCGTATCCAACTTTGGCTACGCCGCATCTTTACCAAGCATAAAGATATTGTTTTTTGTTGGGTCCCTGGTCATGTTGACGTACAGGGCAATGAACAGGCAGACACTGGTGTGCGGTCAGCAGTACATGACCTACCAGTTTCTTATAGAGGTATTCCATTTACGAACTATTTTGCTGCAATATCTTCCCACCTTCACACCCGTTGGCAACAACGTTGGTCTACTATGCTCGGCAACAAACTTCAATCTATTAAACCGAGTATAGGTTACTGGCCGTCTTCTTATCACCAGTGTCGAGGTTGGAGACTACTCTCTCCCGTCTTCGCATTGGCCATACTCGTCTTACTCATGGATATCTCATGGAGAGGCATCCTGCTCCTCTCTGTGAGAATTGCCAAGTTCCATTATCAGTCAGCCACATTCTGTTGGACTGCCCACTTTATCAACGAGCACGCAGAATTTACCTCTGTCGTCGTCTTCGCTCCGCTACTCTCTCTTTACCTTCCCTTCTCGCTGATGGACCCACCTTTCATCCGGACTCTCTCATTGACTTTTTGACAACTGACTTACTTCACAAATTCTGATACCTTCAGCCCTTTCTACTTCAATCTCTTGCTACCCCCGTACTATCCCCTGCCCCGCTGTTTTCTGTAACCTACTGATCATCCCTCCTCCCTTCTGCCATCCAATACCCTTGCTTCCTTCCCTACCCTGCAGCGCTGTATAGCCCTTGTGGCTTAGCGCTTCTTTTTGATTATAATAATAATTAGCAGAATAAGGGTTTGTGGGTGTTGAGTTTTTCATATTGCCATCAAATCTTGAAGTTGAGAATGTGCACAGATGTTTAGAAACCATTCTTTGGGAATGTCTTTATTCATTTATATATTTCACAGGTACCCACATCGGCGATTACCCTGGGTTCAAACAACGCTTTCTGAGGAGGTGCTGCGACTACAAGGAACAAATACAGAGGGAATATTTAGAGTTCCTGCAGATTTTGATGAAGTAAGAATATTACTTTGAAATTTTCAAGTAAAAACAATTGAAAATTAAAAAGTGAATTACCCTATTTTATGGTATCGAAGATGTTATTTTTTTCCCCAAGTCGTGAATTTATCCACTATCTTGGAGGTCGAAGCACCGTTGTTTTTGTTTTTTTTTCTTTCTTTCTTTCAAAAATTTAGCCAGTCAGAATTGGGAGAGTCTTGTTTGCCATAAAATATGATAAATACTACAAAAGATGAAAATAAAGTTTTTTGAAAGCTCAGTGTTATAAGATATATGCAAGTGTGGTAACATGAAATATAAGATCAATAGAAGTGTCTGTACAGCTTTGTTATCTACACAAGAGGTGATAATGTGGTTGAACGACTGATACAATAATGACAAGTGTAATGTATTTTTGCCTCGCTGTCCCTCCCAATTTTTCTTTTCTGGTGTCTCCCGATAGTACTTACAGCCTCTCCTCATTGAACAACGGAGTTCCATTCCTAAGATCACATCACTAAACAAATTTGTCGCTAAGCAAGGAGCATACTATAATGGTAGTGGGTTTGTGTCAACCATCTTTGATATTGCTTTAATGTCACCTTTGCACCATTTATCACATTTTTAGTATATTTTTAAATGTTTATACAGTAGTATACTGTATATTGTAATAAACAAAATAGAGGAAATCAGCTCTGATATACATTATTTACGTATGCATACTGGTCAGATAGCCCGTCGTAAGTGAGTCGTAGATAAACGAGTATGTCGCTAAGTGAGGAGAGGCTGTACCACATTTTGAGTAATCGCTACAACTATATTTGCTAAGCAACTGGGAGAGAAAGAATCAACAATATTTATTGGAGGGAGGGAGGGTGCTTGCCATAGCTTATACCAGGGTGCTCAGTGTTCACCACAACAATCTGCCACATTTGTTGCTTCTCTTCCTTTCACAACCTACACAACTAAGAAAGCATATCAGGCAGTAGTACAACACCTGATGGGAAAACCACCGTCCACCTATCCCATATTCCTGCAGGATTCTGTCCTGTCCCTGTGGCACCTTCCACTTTCCTAGTGCATAACAATTTTAAGGAGCTCTCCTGTATTTTCCCGTTTTATTTGCTCACCCTCAAAAGTCTTCTGCTCCCTCTGTTGCTACAAATTATCATAATTATATTAAAAATACCACTAAATGAATTTATGTATATGTGCGTGTGTGCCATAGTACTGTGTGTTTCTATAAATAGGCAACATGTCCTCATCTTCAGTAAAAACCTACTTAATGGTGCTCATTCCTCCTATGGCTCAAAATATGTCTTGCATCAAAAGACTTGCTAAATTTTATCCTGCCATTTTGTGCCTTCCTGCTATATCCACCTTTATGCTGTCTCCCATTGAAAATAGTCCTGGGGATGCCTCTCTCTCAGTAATAGGATCGTCAAAATTATCTAATACTCTATCTTGTTTTTGCAGGTTCATCAGCTAAAGCAAGTTGTTGACCAGTGGGAAGTGGGAGACTGTGGTGATGCTCATGTTGCTGCTGCTCTCTTGAAACTTTGGTACCGGGAGCTTTATGAACCTCTTATACCAGACTCCCTATACCAGGCAGCCATTAATGCTCATGATGATCCAATTCAAGCTGTTGCTCTTGTCAATAAACTTCCTGAAATTAATAGGCTTGTGCTGTCATATCTTATCAGGTTAGTACATTTGCTTTTCAATAATTCTTCTTTCAGCAGACAATTATTTACAAGAATTCAAATCTGTAAATACAGTACTGGTAAATTATTGACATATAAAAATACGTATGTATATAAATGAATTTGGTATATTTTCATTGTTTTGTAATTGCATGAGTTTATAGTTATATATAGAATCCTTCTGTCAGGTTTTTACAGTACTTTGCCCAGCCGGACATTGTAACTGCTACCAAAATGGATGCTAGCAACTTAGCAATGGTGATGGCTCCTAACTGTCTCCGGTGCACAAGTGATGACCCTCGTATTATATACGAAAACACTCGGAAGGAAATGGCCTTCATACGTACACTCATCCAACATCTGGACACAACTTTTATGGAAGGGGTTGTCTGAGACTGGCATTTTGTGGTATAAGGACTTTGTTATTCAATTATCTGTCTATATATACCACAGACCCTATCATGACACATGTGCATTGCTGGTAATTAAAGTCATGGATTCATGAATGTCTTCATTATAAATAAAATGTTTTTGCTGCTGTACTGTGTTCAGATATAAAAAAAAAAAAGCCTTTATTTTCCTGGACATTCTGTAATTAAAAAAAAAGAGTACTGTCAGTAGAGAGGATGTATGCCATGCAAGCTTGGTGCTCATGATCATCTTGCTCTTACCTCTTAGGCACAGGGTGGATACTTAAAAGGTCCCCAGAACTAAGCACAAACTCAATTCCATTTCTATACCAGGTTTGTAAAATACAACAAATTTCCTACTAGGAATGAGTTTTAAGCTCATAAGCATTTTGGTATTCTAAAATCAAGTTTTGGATTTGGTCCTAACATCTTGAAAAAAAAATTGTGATTTGATTCCTTTGACTAGTATATTTAAGGTTGGGTAAAGAATGCTTGAAATTTTTTTGCACAATTCCATATAATGCAAATATTTAGAATTTATTTGTTAGTAGTGAGCTGTCATGATTTTTCCTGCTTTACTTTTATTGTTTATGTTTAACGTTCAATAGCTGAAAATAATAAATGAACCTTATGAGAGTGGAGTACATAATTTTGTCTATATGTAACACTGATACCATACCAATTTTTTTTTTTTTATTAAAAAAAAAAAAAAAAGTTTGTGCAAAAGGTTTACTGTAGTGCTTGCCTTTTTTGTCTAAAGTCCAGTACTATGTCAACTAACATTCCAAATTCACAGTGAGCCGAGTTACACTCATTACAGGACTTTCAGGGATCCCTCACTAAGTGGAGGCTACTGGCCATGTTAATAAAAGTTTGAATGTTAAGATTTATTCAGACAAACTGATTAGACAAGTAATTGGATTTCTGATATTCAGAATATTATTAGTATTTGTGGGAAGGTAATGAAGATTTGTCTAACAGTCATTTGATGGTACTGTATCTGGATATTATTTCAGTTTATGCATTTTATGTTATTGACTTACCAAAATACAGTGGCGTCACACAGTGAGGAAGATGCCTTGGGGTCGGTCATTGATCATGTAGTTGGTGTTCCAACTTTTCATAACATGGTCTTGAAAAACCAACGTTCCTCTACCACACAGCTTAAAAGATTTAAAGAGAACCCTACCTTTACGTCCTGAATGAAAAATGGACATGCCTATTATCTAGTCTTCAACTTGTATAGTATTTTTTTCACAAACTCTTTGTGCCAACTCAAACAAATGAAAAACAGATCAAATCTACTTTGTTTGCATTTGTTACAGGCACACATGCTTTTGTTAAATGACTTGATATAGTTAAAATGTTATTTTTTATACCATGTTGACAACAGTTTGTTACAGCCTTATGTAACACATTCTTTGCTACTTGTTCGGCAAAAAATTGTACATGAATTTAAAGATAAAAAGTATATATGTTTATGAGTGTGAAGTTGGATGATAGTCGGATGGTGGTATTTTTTATATACTACTTAATTATTCTAGGACATTTAATTATATAGCCATATAAGCCAAGTAATCATGTAATTGATTGGAAGGTGACAAGGACAGAATACTTTGAGCCAATAAAAACTTTAAAAGTTTATTTTTTCTGAATTTTCTTACACTAGACTTGTGACATTCTTCTGAAGTGAATTCAGTGTGTGTTTTGCATACATATAATCTCTGGTGTAAAACATAAAACAATATATGCCATTTTTTGTCAACTTCAAAAAAAATAATTATAAAGACATGCTCTTGTAAGTAAATGAAGTTTGAACTGAGTCAGATATTCACACAGTTTACTTTTCCATATGTGAATTAAGTGGTTTACTTCTCCATGTGTGTATTAAGAGCTATCATTTAATAGCAAATTTTACAAATGTAAATCCCTGTATTAAATACAGTATACCAAACCAATAATTATTTCAAATGTAAATACTGTACTCTTAAATATACCAAATCCATAACTTTCACTATCAGAAGCTCAATACCTTTCACAAAAACTAAACTTCAAATCATTTCTGTAGCCCCCCTTAAAAATATGAATTTAGGATTCTGGCCTCATCATCAATGTCATAGTTGCAAGAATACTTTTTCCTCATTTTCGCATCGGGCACACATCTCACTCATGGGGTATCTCGTGGAGAGGTGCCCAGTTCCACTAAGAATTTCCAGGTTCCAATTTCAGTTTGCTATATTCTATTGGACTGTCCTGTCTACCAGTGAGAATGTAGAATTTACCTGTAATGTTGTTGCTGCTCTCCCACCCTTTATCTTCCTCCTTACTGACGATCCCACCTTTGACACAGACTCCCTCTTGACTTTTTGACAGCAACACATCTGTTACACAAACTTTGATTATACTTCCTTAAGCACTCCTCTCTGCCTTTAATAACTCTACCTCTGTTATACTTTCCATCCTTGCTAGGCTCAGATCAAGTACATTCAACTATAAGCACATCCTTACCTGCAGCACTGTATAACCCTAGTAGGTTTAGCACTTCATTTTGATTATAATAATAATAATCCAAAACTTATCGTGGATACCAGAAACCATGGATAGCAGTGAACTTTTAAGCTTTTTTTCATTTATATACTTTTTTTTTTTTTTAACAAGTCGGCCGTCTCCCACCGAGGCAGGGTGACCCAAAAAAAGAAAGAAAATCCCCAAAAAGAAAATACTTTCAACACTTTCACCTCACTCACACATAATCACTGTTTTTGCAGAGGTGCTCAGAACACAACAGTTTAGAAGCATACATGTATAAAGATACACAACATATCCCTCCAAACTGCTAATATCCCAAACCCCTCCTTCAGAGTGCAGGCATTGTACTTCCCATTTCCAGGACTCGAGTCCGGCTATATAAAAATAACTGGTTTCCCTGAATCCCTTCACTAAATATTACCCTGCTCACACTCCAACAGACTGTCAGGTCCCCAATACCATTCGTCTCCATTCACTCCTATCTAACACGCTCACGCACGCTTGCTGGAAGTCCAAGCCCCTTGCCCACAAAACTTCCTTTACCCCCTCCCTCCAACCTTTTCGAGGACGAGCCCTACCCAGCCTTCCTTTCCCTACAGATTTATACGCTCTCCAAGTCCTTCTACTTTGGTCCATTCTCTCTAAATGACCAAACCACCTCAACAACCCCTCTTCAGCCCTCTGACTAATACTTTTATTAACTCCACACCTTCTCCTAATTTCCACACTCTGAATTTCCTGCATAATATTTACACCACACACTGCCCTTAGACAGGACATCTCCACTGCCTCCAACCACCTCCTCGCTGCTGCATTCACAACCCAAGCTTCACACCCATAAGAGTGTTGGTACTACTATACTTTCATACATTCCCTTCTTTACCTCCATAAATAACGTTTTTTGTCTCCACATATACCTCAACACACCACTCACCTTTTTTACCTCATCAATTCTATGATTAACCTCATCCTTCATAAATCCATCCACTGACACGTCAACTCCCAAGTATCTGAAAACATTCACTTCTTCCATACTCCTCCTCCCCAATTTGATATCCAATTTTTTTTTATCTAAATCATTTGATACCTTCATCACCTTACTCTTTTCTATGTTCACTTTCAACTTTCTACCTTTACACACACTCCCAAACTCATCCACTAACCTTTGCAATTTTTCTTTAGAATCTCCCATGAGCACAGTATCATCAGCAAAAAGCAACTGTGTCAATTCCCATTTTGTATTTGATTCCCCATAATTTAATCCCACCCCTCTCCCGAACACCCTAGCATTTACTTCTTTTACAACCCCATCTATAAATATATTAAACAACCATGGTGACATTACACATCCCTGTCTAAGACCTACTTTTACCGGGAAGTAGTCTCCCTCTCTTCTACACACCTTAACCTGAGCCTCACTATCCTCATAAAAACTCTTTACAGCATTTAATAACTTACCACCTATTCCATATACTTGCAACATCTGCCACATTGCTCCCCTATCCACTCTATCATATGCCTTTTCTAAATCCATAAATGCAATAAAAACTTCCCTACCTTTATCTAAATACTGTTCACATATATGCTTCAATGTAAACACTTGATCTACACATCCCCTACCTACTCTGAAACCTCCTTGCTCATCCGCAATCCTACATTCTGTCTTACCTTTAATTCTTTCAATAATAACCCTACCGTACGCTTTTCCTGGTATACTCAATAAACTTATTCCTCTATAATTTTTACAATCTCTTTTGTCCCCCTTCCCTTTATATAAAGGGACTATACATGCTCTCTGCCAATCCCTAGGTAATTTCCCCTCTTTCATATATTTATTAAGCAAAAATACCAACCACTCCAACACTATATCCCTCCCTGCTTTTAACATTTCTGTCATGATCCCATCAGTTCCAGCTGCTTTACCCCCTTTCATTCTACGTAATGCCTCACGCACCTCCCCCACACTCACATCCTGTTCTTCACTCCTAAAAGATGGGATACCTCCCTGGCCAGTGCATGAAATTACCGCTTCCCTTTCTTCGTCGACATTTAAAAGTTCTTCAAAATACTCTCTCCATCTACCCAAAACCTCCATTTACCCATCTACTAACTCCCCTACTCTGTTTTTAACTGACAAATCCATTCGTTCTCTAGGCTTTCTTAACTTGTTTAACTCGCTCCAAAATTTTTTCTTATTTTCATTAAAATTCCTTGACAGTGCCTTTCCCACTCTATCATCTGCTCTCCTTTTGCACTCTCTCACCACTCTCTTCACCTTTCTTTTACTCTCCATATACTCTACTCTTCTTATAACACTTCTGCTTTGTAAAAACCTCTCATAAGCTAACTTTTTCTCTTTTATCACACTCTTTACTTCATTATTCCACCAATCACTCCTCATTCCTCCTGCACCCACTCTCCTATAACCACAAACTTCTGTCCCACATTCTAATACTGTATTTTTAAAACTATTCCAACCCTCTTCAACCCCCCCACTACTCATACTTGCACCAGCTCACCTTTCTGCCAATAGTTGCTTATATCTCACCTGAACTTCCTCCTCCCTTAGTTTATACACTTTCACCTCCCTCTTGCTAGTTGTTGCCATTTTCCTCTTTTCCCACCTACCTCTTACTCTAATTGTAGCTACAACTAAATAATGATCAGATATATCAGTTGCCCCTCTATAAACGTGTACATCCTGGAGCCTACCCATCAACCTTTTATCCACCAATACATAATCTAACA